GCTGCAGTCCGACGTGCTTCGTAGACCTTCGAGTGGAGTTCAATGACTTGCTCGACGCGTTTCTGAAGCGCAATGGCTCTTCGGGCGATGAGATCGGTCGTCGAAAGAATTGAAGTCGGTGGTGGTTGCAGGTACGTAGCTTCGACGATGTCGAGAGGAATGAGCGGATGGGTGCCCATAACAGCGAAGTAGGGTGAGCAGCCCATGCGTCGTCGAGTCGTGATGCGCTCGGACCAAAATACAAAGTACGCAGCTTGGGACCATTTCTTCTCATCTCCGTCGGCTGTCTTAAACAAGGCTTGTCGCGTGCTGAAGTGCGGACGTTCGACGAGACCGTTTGCCCTCGAATTGTACCCACTGATTCGAATATGGTTGATGTGGTACTTCTTCGAAAGGTAATCGGCCGCCTTGATGAACGCCGTACCGTTGTCGGTGACGATCTCGCTGAGCGCACCCCATCGACAGAGGATGTCTTCAAAGATCCAGTCAGCGAGGGCCTTTGCTGTCTCTTTTCGAAGCATTCGAAACTCGGGGTAAGTCGTGAGCGAGCATCTACCCTGGACCAAGTACTTGTATCCGCCCGAGGCAGGCATGTGCATTGTGTCGATGTGAATTTTCGCAAAGATGGGGGCTGGTACTGCGACGGTCGGAGGAATGAGGATTTGACGCACTTGTCGAGACTGGCAGATATGGCACGATCGAACGAACCAGGCGATGTCGGCATAGTGGAACAGCCACCAGAATCGCTCATTAACGAAGGCTCGGGTTGCGTAGATTCCTCGATGCGCGGTGCGGTCGTGGCATTCTCGAAGTATTCGAAGGCGATCGCCGGGCTTGACGACTAGCTTGTGTGCTCCGTGACTGTCCTTGCGCCAGAGGGTGTCATTGTTGAGGAAGAATTGCATGCAGTACTTGATGAATCCTTCGTAAACGCTTTCAGAGATGCCATCGGGCTTTGCTAACGTTCGATGAAATTCGAGCACGTCGTCGAGCTTTGCATCGGCGAGTTGCGCTTGCTCCGATCGAGGCACTAGCTCGTAGCTATCCTCCTCCCTATTGAAATCTGAGCCGTCCTCGGCTCGGGCATTGGTGAAGATGGCACGCATCTGGACGGACGGGAGGGGCTGAATCTGGTGAACGAAGGAATGCATCTGGTCGATCCAATCGTCGAATTCTTCGTCAACCTCATCTTCGATGACATCGCCGGGCTGAGCTGTGCGTCGAGAGAGACCGTCGGGGCCGTGCATTGTACCGGGGACGTGGACGAGCGTGAAATGAAATGTGAGAATCGAGACGATCCACCGGTTAATACTTGCGCTTGGGGCTATGTCCGGGTTCTTCAGCATACCCTTGATGTACCGAGCATCGACTTCGACGATGAGGTTCCGAACGCCGATCAGGTAGAGTCGAAGGGATCGTAGTGCGCGGAATAGGCCGTAGATCTCGAGCTTCGGCTGCGAAAACCTTCGTTCGCGATCGTTGAGCGTAATCGAGCCGAACCTGCTGTAGTAACGGACTCGCGTATTGGCTTCGTCGCACTGGCAGAGGTGATATCCGACGGCGATGAACGACGTGTCGACTGCGAGAATGACGGGAGAGGGGGAATCATAACTAATTGCTCGGAGTGCGGGGGATGAGAGTAGCGCGTCCTTGAGGTCTTCCTGCGCCGCGATCTGCTCCGGACCGAACTCGAACTCGACGTCCTTCCTCATGAGGCGTACGAGCGCGTTGGCGCGGTGAGCAAAATTACGGATGAAGATTCCGAACGACGCCGATGGTTCCGAGGAACGCTCGAATGTCAGATAGAGTAGCGCAGGGACCCCAGTTGCGTATCGCAGCGACGCGAGAGTCGTCAGGGAGGCATCCGTGAGGAGTGCAGCGATGTCCGACCACCATAATTTCTCTAGCGATGAGGACGCTCTTGACTCCAGAGAAGGTACCTCCGGCGTAGCGCATTCGAGTGACCACGCGGTTCATGTTCTCAAAATGCTTCCATACGAAGCATCGAATGCCGTGGTTCAAAGGGAGTCGCTCGTCGTCGTAGTCGGATTCGGGACCCTTGACGGGAACGTCGTCGATGTAGGGCACCGTAACGTGCGGAATCTCGGGCTGCAGGATGTAGGTGACGTCGTCGTGGAAGATCGGGACTGAGTTCGTCCAGCCCATCGGGAGTGTGACTAGGCGCATGGCTCCGTAGGGTGTCTGGAACGTCATTAGATCTCTCGAAGACTCGGCGATGAGTCGTTCGTCGTAGCCGACGTAGAGGTCGAGCATGCCGCCGCATGGTCTTCCTCCGAATTGTTCTGCGAGGTATTCGGGCGTCGGCGGTACATCGGAATGTTGAATCGTAACTGCATTGAGGGGCTCGAGGGAATGGACTAGTCGAAGGGATTTACCGTCCTTCTTGACGACACAGAACCACCGCAATCAATACAACGAGTTCGATGGCTCGTAGACTCCGGCGGCGATCTTTCGCTTGATCACCGCGCAGACCTCGTTGTAGATCCCGGGCGGAATGGGGATATTCTTCTGCACCCAGGGCGTGTGAGGAATGACGGGGAAATCGACGGGAGGGAAGTACTCGGGCTTGAAGCATCCGCGCTCGTCGTCGGTCCAGGCGAAGGCTTCGTTGTGCAGGCACATGAAGTGGTGGAGGACTCGACGTTCTTCGGGAAGTAGGAAGTCGCCGTCGTGAAGCTTTTCGGTCATTTCGAAGCGTTCGAGGGTGTACCGACCGGTAGGTTTGAACGGCGGAGGGTCGGTCGAAAGCTTGGGCATGATGGAGAGAGGGTCGCCCTTTATGTCTCGAAGTATTCGAAATTGTTTGGGGACGGCACCAAGGACGGGTCGGGTTTTGAGAGCGACAGGCTTGTATTTCTTTTTTGTCGCGGCGAGGATCTTGTGCGTTGAAGGGGTAGAAGGCGATGTCGTCGAAGGAAAAGGAAGAATTGAGTTGGAGAACTGTGAGATGGATTTCGTCGGAGCGGGAGCTGGCGGAGTCGAAGCGAACGGAGCTGAAAATAGAAGAGTCGAAGCCCACGTCGAAGCGTTTGACGGAGCGGTATTAGAAGCTGTACTGTCCGAGGCGTAAAGAGACTGCAAATATGAAGAAACGGAGGTGCATGTGGAGAGGTACAGTGACGAAACAGCGTTCGGAGTCGAGGAATCAATCGGAGAGACGAAGGAAATACTTGGTTTTACCCCATTGTAGTTGATGACTAGCGCGGCTTCTCCTTGATCATGGGGAATCAATTCCTTGAAGCGAGAAAATGCGATTTGCGACACCCGAGAGGATGCTGCCTGCTTCGCGATCTTCCTCGCGTGTACGTCGGAATCGTGACGGTTTCGCCGGTGTTCGGACAGAGAATCGTAATGGTCTGGTTCTCGTCGGCGAAGTTCTTGACGACGCTCTGCGTGAGCACATCGAAGGGCCGGCCGAGAAGAATGTCGTATGCTGTGTTTCGAATGACGTGAGCCTGAAGATACAATACGATCTCACTGATGTGGAAGGGAACATTTCGAATGAGTCCCAGC